CTCTGAAGCGTCAAGATGAATGTCGAGGCTTGCCCTGACGCGTTTTTAGAGGGGGGGGGGGGGGGGGGAGGGGGGGGGGGGAGAGGGGGGGTGTTCCTGTTCCCGGGGATTTTTTTCCCCTGGTATTTTTTTCCCCATGGATTTTTTTTCCCCGTGTCTTTTTCCAGCCTTCGCACGACTCCTTTGACAATTCCAATCCCCATCAAGGCACCAGCCAAACCCATCAGGTTTGGAACAGGTTGGGCAAGGCAACACTCTCGTCTCCTCGTGTGCCATGCATGCACCCTTCCAGTGTTGCTATTAGATTAGCGGTGGTGTTCTCTGGTCTAGTCTGGTGGTGTTCTCTACCCTGGATTAGTTAGCAAGAATAGGACAATGCTGGTGCCACAATTGTTGAAAACATAACCCTGAACACTCGTATTTTGTCCCTGACAGGCCAGGATAAATTTCTGCAGAAGCCCTGAAACTACAGGATGCCTCTGAAAATTTGCCCTGATAAATCAGAGTTTTTTTTTCAAAATCTAGAAAGTTGCCCTGAGGCCTCAGGATGCCCCAAAAACCTTGCACGGGCCCTGGAATCTACCCCCTTAGAGTACATCGCTAGATAGGACCTTTCATATTCCCTTGTATTCCTATATAAACCCTTGTACCGCATTGTTATAATCAATTTTGTCAAGATTCAAATCTCCTTCCGACAGGGTCCGTATCAGTGCCATAGTTATTAGCCTTTTTACGCTGATTCAGTGTTAGATTAGGATTTTTTCGTACCTAGGGTGAACTCTTAGTTTTTTTCTCAGTGTTTTTTTTAAGACTTGACTGAAATTTCAGCCTAAATGTATGAGTGTTGGCTGAGCCCTCAGCCTTGTATCGGGCGTGCACACTGAAACCGGCAATACAAGGATTTCCGCCAGCCTGGCGAAGTGTAGGACTAACACTGTGAATCACGAGCGGGAAAGCAAAGTTTCCCGAGCACGGCACCTCACAGTCGCGTTGGTACAGCAATGTTGTAATCAGCTGCAATTCCAACCAATCGCGCCTGCGAAGCAGGCAGCGATGGCAAGATTCCTTGCCAACGCATAGCTCGCAGCGAGCTGCTCCTCCGATGACACCACAACCATCCACCCCACCCCACCTTCCTCCGTGCCAACGCATAGCTCGCAGCGCGCTGCTCCTCGCACGACACCACAACCCTCCACCCCACCCACCCCACCTTCCCTGCATACACAACCAGGTGACGTGCATGCAGGGACCACCAGGGAGATGTCCGGTCCTAATACAAGGACCTCTTAGCTTCCTCATCGCCACTGTTCCTTCTAGTCCCTCAGTGACTTGCCTCTCTCACTTCAGTTCAATGCCCTTGCCTGAAACTACTACTTGAACCCTTGTTTCAGGCTCCTTCTCCCGACCTCGCAAAACCACTGCTCGACAGACCCAATGGCAGCCACATACGCTACAGCTGAAGGGCCCGACGACGAAGAAGATGCCGATCGTCGCCCTGCATGCGACATGGTGACCGGCCTAGACTTTCTTAGATTGGCCTTAGAGAAGCCTCGTGCACCTCCAGCGCCACCGTTGCGACCCAGCTCGAGTCACGCTCCGGATTCCACGCACTCAGAACCTCTGCTCGAGGCCGCCATTGAACCAGTGACAGCTGCGCCACCGACGGTGGTCCATAAGGCGTTCATTGAAACACTGTCCCATCCTGCACCACCGACGAAGCTGCGGTTCCGGCAGTCCACCATTGCGTGGGCAACTCCACCTCCTCCCTCGACTGTTGAAGCTCCAGCGAGGGACGAATCTCCCATGCAAGGCAGCTCAAATCCCACTCCCGAGAAGTTTGAGTTGAAATATGAAGAAGCCCATGATCATTACAAAACTAAGTGGTGTACCGATTACGCGTGGCTGATTCTTATTAGAACTACTTCTGGTGCCCCTGCTTTTAAGTGCAGCATATGCTTGGAGTTTGCTGGATTGACATGCAAATGTGGACGGCGTGGAGAAGGTGCTATCGACATGCAAACGCAGGCCTTCAAGAAACTTGAAGGGACTGTGAAGCATCGGTTAGCTGTGTAGCGGCAGGAGGACCTCTTCCAGAAAGTGCAGGGACAGCAGCGCATCGACCTACACCCAAAAGCGCGGGACAAGGAGTTGCTGCAGGTTTCGTCTCTCGTGGACTCGCTGTAGTTCATGAGAAAGTGCAACGAGCCCATGGATTCGGAGATTCGGCTAGTGCGCTACTTGGCGAAGAAGAAGGTACCCGGGTTTCCGGAACAGGGCTACGGCATGTACTACTCTACGTAAGTATTTTCAGTTGTATTTACCTTTTTAACATTCACACTACTTCTGTCGCTTACTACAGTGGTTTTTTTTTTTTACAGGTATGGCTTCGGAGAACTTACTGAAGCAATTGCGACGTGGCTTCAAACAACGCAGCTGGAACGCCTCTTAACAAGCCCCTTCATTGGGATCACTTTGGACAAGAGCACCGACCGGCGTCGTGGCAAACACATGATTGTGTTTGCAACCTTTCTGCGCGACGATCAAACTGTTACAGAGTTTCTCGCATTGCTTACGGTTGAGAAAGCTTACGCCGAATCCCTGTGTAGCTTGTTGCTCTCCCACCTCAGGGCCGTGGGCGTTGATCTCCGCCGAATCTCGTGTGTGAGCACGGACGACGCAATGGTGATGGTGGGGCCCCAAAGTGGAGTGGTTGCACGTCTTCGGATGCTCATCCCCAACCTTGTCTCGTTCCACTGCATCGCACACCGGGTCGTTGGTGATGATTCTTATCATCTGTGTTCAAACCTCAACTGTAAACAACTAACCCTGGGTGTTTGTATGATGTGTAGAGAGGCATTGGCTGCCAAAGCTGCTCTAGAGGCTATCCCAACATTCGACATGGTTGACGACATGATCCGCGCCGTCGCTGAGTACCTGGGGCATTCTGGAACGTGGCATCAACGTTTCATGGAGCTGCAGAAGATCTTCATGTCCGCGAACCTCGAGGTGCTGCCGTCGCGCCCTTCGTCGGAGTCCTGCCTGCCATCGTGGTGATGCTGTCAGAGTGGAAGGACCAAACCATGTACGAACTCATCACGTCGTACCGGTTTCAGTTCCTGCTCAGGTTTCTCGCGGACGTTTTGGAGCTGCTCAACGTCCTCTCCAAGGTTTTCCAGCATCGGGAGGTAAGTGACGTTTCAGTATATGATACGTTTACCTAAAATATATGTTCCTGTGTACTAACTTACTGTTTGACTTGTGTGTGGCAGCTCGACTATGCCTTGGTGCATACACAGATTGTGTGCACAACCTCTGTCTTGGAGAGCTGGTACATCGACCATGGAGACGACTTCGGGGGGGGGGGGGGCAACGAGCGGTTTTACCGGTTCATTGAGAAGCATGGACCAAAGGGGTCACCAGAGATGGTGGTGGAAGGTGCGTCGTCGGATGGTAGCCTCAACCGCTTCACCTTCACCCTACACGATCGCAGCAACCCCTCCTATTGTGGACCAGGTCATCACGACGCATGTGTGGCACTCTGCACCGACATGGCCGAGCTCCTCGTCCAAAACTTGCAGTCAAAGTTGGGAGACCTCGACTCTCTTTCTGGCGTGAGACTCTTCATCCCGGACTTGTGACAACCGAACTGGGAGCGGCACGCACGGCAGGCACAGTGCCAGGAGTGGCTGTTGTCGCTAGTCACTCTATTTCACGCAGATGACTCTGACGAGATCCTACCAGGTTAGTTCATGATTGCTACCGCGTTCGACCGTTGAAAATCCGTCATTTACTAATCCCCTGCCTTGTTCTTACCTCGCTGGCATTGACAAGAAGCGGGCCGTCAAGGAGCTGAGGACTCTGTGCCCGGTCCTGGCCAGAGCTCCTAAGAGCGAGTGTAAGTTCCATGCGGGACTGACTGCAATTCTCAAGACTCCCGACTGGCAGCAGTCGTACCCCAACCTCGTCGGACTCTGGGTGGCGATTGCAGTGCTGCCTCACAGCACTGTCGAGTATGAGAGAGGCTTCTCTCGACAGAATATCATCAAAACGTGGTAGAGGGGCAGTATTAAGGACTGCAGGCTTAGTGATCTGTTGTGTATGTCATTGCTAGACTATGAGCTAGACTTGCCAGGAGTAGTAGAGATTTGGCGCAGCTACAAGAAGCGCCGTCCAGTCACAGCACCTGCTGCAAGACATAGCGAGCCCCCAAGGGCTGGAAAGGAGCCTGTAGAGGAGCCAGTAGTTGAGCGTGCTCCTGTAGAAGCTCAGTCAGACTTAGATTCAGATACCGGTATGTGAGAAATGATTTCTAATAGTAGTTTTATAAAACTGCATGATCAGCTTAAATTTTGAATGTGACGCTGAAAGTTCAGCTTAAAACATTTGTGCTGTCTGAAATTTCAGCCTAAAAATTGGAGACAACGCTGACTGGCAGAGTTCCAAGAGAGGTGCACGCTGATCGATCAGCGTGCCTCAAAACGAATCTAGGGGCCTGGTCCGTACTCGACATTCACTAGCAATCTTCCGCTGCTACAAGACTCGCGATCAACCTGAGACGATTCTACAACTTTACTTCAGATTCTAACAGTTAAGAACCCCCCGCATTTTTGGGGTGGGATTCTTATAATACCCCAGGTCTTTTATCCGGGGTATTACGGTATATGTATTATGTCGTACATTCTTAGATTTTTCTGCGACTGCATTGTATTCCAACCCAACACTTTCCGAGCATAAGCCTGGTTGGTGTTCCCTAGCTATCTCTCATCTACAAGTCAATCAGCCTTTTCCAAGTGAAAGCTTTTACGCATACTTCAATAACAGACAGCAGGAGCAAACACGCATGTAGAGACTCCAACCCCCATCTCTCTCAACTGCATTACTACAACCAGTCTCCTTCCCACTCCATCAATCTCCAAATGCTCCAACAATCTCCAAATGCTCCATTGGAGTGACTTTTGGAGTGCTCCATATACCACTGCTTCTTCTCCCCACTTCCCCCCTCATTCTTGCTGCGCAGCGCGCCGCCATGCGCCCCCTCTGAGCAGGTCCCAGGCGCTGAACGATGATGCCTCGGGTGCGGGGGTGGGGGTGGCGGCACGGGGTGTGGTGACGGGGGTGCTGTAGTCGCCAGCGGCAGAGGCGGAGCGCACCGGCAGGTGGATGGAGCGGTCGGAGGAGGTTTCAAGGGCGGGCATGGAGGGCGTGGAGGGGAGAGGAGGAGCGGTGTGAGGGGCGGCAGCCCTGTAGGGCAGGAGGAAGTGGAAGGCGGGGTCCTGCTGGAGCTCGGGCGGCGGCTCCAAGTCGTCAATGTGCATGGTGGGGATGGCGAGGGCTATGTCATCCACCGTGAACGGGATGCTGGAAGGGTGGAGGGGAGGGAAGGGGTTGCCGCAGGGAGGGATGAGGGCGGGCCGGATGACAGATGGGGGGATTAGGGGGGAGAGTTGGGCATGCTGCTGTGCATAGGTAGAACCACGGCATGCCCACGCATGCCCACCCACGCCTACCCACGCCCACCCACCCAGACTCACCCATATTCACTCGTGCACAACCATGCCCATTTGTACCCACCCACGCCCACCCCTCATCTCTCGTCGTCACGGAGCAGCATGGGGCAGTCGTCCACCATGAGCGCCCACATGCGCTCCGTGACGGAGGGGTCGACGCCCTTGGTGCCGTAGGCGTCGTCCTCGTACCAGATGCACATGTGCACCAGCTGGTTCAGCGTCAGGTCCGGACACAGCTCCTCTATCTCCTCCAGCGACCGCCGCGGCTTGTGGTCCAGCGTCTGAGCCAGAAGAGGGTGGGGAGGGGGAGGGAGGGGGGGAGGGGTGGTGGGAGAGGGGGGGGAGGGAATGGGTTTAAGGCCAGGGGGATGAGTGGTAAAGCATGAGGGTTGGTGGGGCATGAGACATAACAGCGACTAGGATTGTGGAGAGGGGCGTGGGATGGGCCGCTGAGCAACTGTGTCCCATGCAGGGGAGGATGGTGCAGGGGATGATGGTGCAGGGGATGATGGTGCAGGGGATGATGGTGCAGCGGATGATGGTGCAGGGGATGATGTCAGAATGTTATTGTCTAGCCTGTAGTGGGGTGCTCTATAGCGGGTACAACCCAACTAGGGTTTGCTATATGTATCCCAACTGCTGCTAGTAAACCCCCTCTTCTTTTGCCTAAACTTTCTCTTGCCTAGCTAGGGCTTACCTAGCAATGGCTCCTCGTTCTACTTGTTTTCTCACATGCTATCAGAGCAGGTCGACCCCCTTGGGTCGATCCTGTGGGTGGGCCCGCCACCTAACTGCTTCCGCTGCTGTTCCGCTTCTAGCGCGCCTAGGGCGCGCGCTGTCTCCTTCCTGCCGCGCGCAAAGCGCGCGGCGATTTTTTTTTTGGGTTTTTCATCCCGCCGTGCGCCCCGAGGCGCGCGGCGGTTTCGCGCCCTGGGGAGCCTGCGCGCGCCCCGCCCGTCCGTCGCGTCGCCCTGGGGAGCACGCGCGGCCTCCCGCCCAGCTCGTCGCGGCGCCCTGGGGAGCCCGCGCGCGCCCCGCCCGTTCGTCGCGGCGCTCTGGGGAGCACGCGCGGCCCCGCCCTGCTCGCCGCGACGCCCTGGGGAGCCGCGCGCGCCCCCTGCCTGTCCGTCGCGGCGCCCTGGGGAGCCGCGCCCGCCCCCTGCCCGTCCGTCGCGGCGCCCTGGGGAGCCGCGCGCGCCACCCCCCCGCCCCGCCCGTCCGTTTTGGCGCCCTGGGGGTCGTGCGCCGTCCCTCCCCTCGCCGTCCCCCGCGCTCCTGCCCCTATCCCACCCGTTTTAGGGTTTTGGGGGTGAGGGGTGTGGGGGTGGCGGTTGTGGGGGTGTCGGTTGTGTGCGCCGTCCCCTACTCATCCTCCTCCTTCGTCTCCCACTGCTGCAGCTGTCGCTGAGGGGGGTGGATGTGTGGGAGCCTGGGGTTTAGGGTTTAAGGGGGGTGCCGTGCGAGTGGAGCTAGGGTTTGAGCAGGGGGTGTGTGTCGAGGGTGTGGGGCAGTTGGAGGAGGTTGTGTGAAGGTAGCTGTCGTGTCGCCTGCAGCGCCTGTAGTCCGTCGCCCTTGCTTCGGTAGCCAGTGAGCCTGCTGCACCAGTCGCCAGTGGGTCCGTTGCTCCTGCCGCTCGTCTATAGCCGCGGAGCCAGTCACTCCAGTAGTCCGTCGCCCTTGCTTCGGTAGCCACTGAGTCAGCCGCTCCTGTGCCCGTGCCTCTGCAGCTTCAGTCGTTGCCTCCCATCTTCTCTCCATCCACAGTTCCTCCTCCTCCTCACTTGCCTGCTGTGATTAACTCTAGCTTTGCTTACTATTGTGAACTCCTGCTCTATGCCTGCTTGCTCATTGTGCTGATTACACCCCACTTTGGCTATGGGGGTGTGTCAGAATGTTATTGTCTAGCCTGTAGTGGGGTGCTCTATAGCGGGTACAACCCAACTAGGGTTTGCTATATGTATCCCAACTGCTGCTAGTAAACCCCCTCTTCTTTTGCCTAAACTTTCTCTTGCCTAGCTAGGGCTTACCTAGCAATGGCTCCTCGTTCTACTTGTTTTCTCACAGATGATGGTGCAGGGGATGATGGCGCAGGGGATGATGGTGCAGCGGATGATGGTGCAGCGGATGATGGTGCAGCAGTGGTGGGAAAAGGGAGATGATGCATGTGGCAAGGAAAAGGGAGATGATGCATGTGGCAAGGAAAAGGTAGTGCTTGATGTGGGAAAAGGGAAGGGAGGGTGGGGGAAGGGTTGGTTGATGGTCGTACTGGGCTACAGCACAAGGAAAGATGTGCGGTCACAAGGAAGCAGATGACTCATGATGGGGGCTTGTGAGGAAGCATGGGGGCTCACGAGGAAGTAGAGGGCTCACGAGGAAGTAGATGGCTTACGAGGAAGTAGATGGCTCACTAGGAAGTAGATGACTCACGAGGAAGTATATGGCCTGGCGGATGTGTCTGAGCTCGCGCTTGAGGGGCTCCTTGCTGCCGCCCATGGCGTCCCTGAGCTGCACCTCCACGTCGTGCACCCACTGCTCCAGCCGCCCCACCCCCTCCTCCATCAGCTCCCCGTTGCTGTACGTGCACGGACACCATTGCGCCCGCACCATCAGCCTGTTAGGGGGCGAGGGGGGGGCGAAGAGGAAAGTGAGGGAGGGGAGGGAGTGGGAATGGATGGGGCCTTGCAACCTTCAAACGATGGGTCACACAAGCGACCGCTCCTCCCCCGTTGCTGTACGAATGTGAGCACCACTGTGCACACACCATTCCACTGTTGGGAGGGGGTGGCGAGCGAGATCAGATTGCATTAGGTGCACATCCATAGCTGCTGGTGGCGCTGGTGCTGCTAGTGCTGCATGTGCTGCATGTGCTGCTTGTGCTGCTAGTGCTGCTAGTGCTGCTAGTGCTGCTTGTGCTGCTAGTGCTGCTAGTGCTGCTAGTGCTGCTTGTGCTGCTAGTGCTGCATGTGCTGCATGTGCTGCATGTGCTGCATGTGCTGCATGTGCTGCATGTGCTGCTAGTGCTGCATGTGCTGCATGTGCTGCTTGTGCTGCTAGTGCTGCTAGTGCTGCTAGTGCTGCTAGTGCTGCTTGTGCTGCTAGTGCTGCTAGTGCTGCTAGTGCTGCTTGTGCTGCTAGTGCTGCATGTGCTGCTTGTGCTGCTTGTGCTGCATGTGCTGCATGTGCTGCATGTGCTGCATGTGCTGCATGTGCTGCATGTGCTGCGTGTGCTGCGTGTGCTGCGTGTGCTGCGTGTGCTGCGTGTGCTGCGTGTGCTGCGTGTGCTGCGTGTGCTGCGTGTGCTGCGTGTGCTGCGTGTGCTGCGTGTGCTGCGTGTGCTGCGTGTGCTGCGTGTGCTGCGTGTGCTGCGTGTGCTGCGTGTGCTGCGTGTGCTGCGTGTGCTGCGTGTGCTGCGTGTGCTGCGTGTGCTGCGTGTGCTGCGTGTGCTGCGTGTGCTGCGTGTGCTGCGTGTGCTGCGTGTGCTGCGTGTGCTGCGTGTGCTGCGTGTGCTGCGTGTGCTGCGTGTGCTGCGTGTGCTGCGTGTGCTGCGTGTGCTGCGTGTGCTGCGTGTGCTGCGTGTGCTGCGTGTGCTGCGTGTGCTGCGTGTGCTGCGTGTGCTGCGTGTGCTGCGTGTGCTGCATGTGCTGCATGTGCTGCATGTGCTGCATGTGCTGCATGTGCTGCATCTGCTGCATGTGCTGCATGTGCTGCATGTGCTGCTTGTGCTGCATGTGCTGCATGTGCTGCATGTGCTGCATGTGCTGCATGTGCTGCATGTGCTGCATGTGCTGCATGTGCTGCATGTGCTGCATGTGCTGCATGTGCTGCTAGTGCTGCATGTGCTGCATGTGCTGCATGTGCTGCATGTGCTGCATGTGTCAGATTGCCATCCTCATTGTAACCTACATCGATCCTATAAGCGTAGGATAGAGATAGCCACCCAAACTTAGTTTGGGTGTAGAACTAGGGCTAACCCTAGTTGGGGGTTGGAACTCAAACCTTGGCCCCCAAGGTTGGGTTGGGAATTATTGGTCCCCCCAATAATGTTGAACCACTTGGTCAACATTAGTGGTCCCCCCAATAATCCCTCAACCCAAATTATTGGTGGGGGGCAATAATGTTGGCTTGGTTCCAACCAACCCCCCACCCCCCTCCCCCCCCCCCCCCCCCCCCCCCCCTAGCACTACTATGTATACCCCAATCTCTCCTAATGAAATCAATGGTTCTTCCTCACGTTTTCTCACATGGTATGAGAGCAAACACAGCTCACACCTTCTTCGATCATAAGAACCACACCTCCGCGTGCCTTAACACGCCCCCCTCCCTCACGCGACAACTAGGTCGCTCTTAGCGCCAAGTGCGCTCCTACGCCGTCACGGCCCCCCTCCCCGCGCTAAATTTCAGCACCTCTCCCCCCTTCCTAAGGTCAATTCCGCCACTTACGGCCCTCCCCTCTCTCCCGCGAGCACACTAACCGTCGGAACGACTACCGCGACCGACGAAACCCTAATAGGGGGCGACCGCCGCGAACGCCACGAACGCGGGCGCCCGCCGCGGATTAGGGTTCCACGGGCGACCGCCGCGAACGCGACGAACGCGAGCGACCGCCACGGACGCGACGAACGCGGGCGACCTCCGCGGACTCGACGAACGCGGGCGACCGCCGCGGACTCGACGAACGCGGGCGACCGCCACGGACGCAACCAGCGGAGGCGACCGCCGCGGACGCGACCAGCGGAGGCGACCGCCGCGGACCCGACCAGCGGAGGCGACCGCCGCGGACGCGACCAGCGGAGGCGACCGCCGCGGACGCGACCAGCGGAGGCGACCGCCGCGGACGCGACCAGCGGAGGCGACCGCCGCGGACGCGACCAGCGGAGGCGACCGCCGCGGACGCGACCAGCGGAGGCGACCGCCGCGGACGCGACCAGCGGAGGCGACCGCCGCGGACGCGACCAGCGGAGGCGACCGCCGCGGACGCGACCAGCGGAGGCGACCGCCGCGGACGCGACCAGCGGAGGCGACCGCCGCGGACGCGACCAGCGGAGGCGACCGCCGCGGAGCGACCAGCGGAGGCGACCGTCGCGGACGCGACCAGTGGAGGCGACCGCCGCGGACGCAACCAGCGGAGGCGACCGCCGCAGACGCGACCAGCGGAGGCGACCGCTGCGGACGCGACCAGCGGAGGCAACACCCGCGGACGGGCGCATTTGCCACGACAGCCGCGGACTGGCGCATCCGCCACGACAGCCGCGGACGGGCGCATCCGCCACGACAGCCGCGGACGGGCGCATCCGCCACGACGAACGCGGGCGCTCGTCGTGGCCTAAACCGCCGCGACAAGGGCGGACAGCGCTGCTACGGGCGACATGGTGCAGCCACGGGCGCCAAGGCGCAGCCGTGGACGGACAGCGCTGCTACGGGCGACACGGCGCAGTCACACGTGACAAAGCGCAGCCGCGGGTAACCCAGCGCAGCCGCACGCACCGTGACCGCACCACCCTTCCAGGTGGTGTCGTCCCCCCTCCTTGACCGCACCACCTCTCCAGGTGGTGTCGTCCCCCCCCCCCTTTCCCCCTCTCCTCCTCCTCCTCATGGCGGACGACTCTACTCCTCTTGAGCTCGGAGCCATTGACAAGCTCGAACTTCTCCATGACACTACGGCTGTAAACTGGGCGTCGTTTGAAGACACACTTCACACGCACCTTGGCTCCGTCAGCATCCAAGACTACTGCCTTCTTGATGTAGTCCTCGAGCACCTTAATGGCCTCCCACCTGTTTCCCCCCCTCCTCTTGAACCTCCTCCCCCTGACGCCCCTCCTCCACCCGAGCCTCTTCCCGACCCCCCGCGTGCCCCAGTTCATGATGACAACCCGGATCGCTGGGGGGCCAACCTGAACGCCTACAACAAGCTTCGCGACACCTACACCCTCCAGCATGAGGCATACCGTGTTGCAGAAGAGGCACACGCTACAGCCACTGCACGCATCCTCTCCTACGCTCAAGATGAGAAAGACTATGCTGAGGAGCTTCGCAAGCTCCACAAGTTGTTGCAGCGTGGCGTGTTGCGGATCGTCGTGCACTCGCCATCATCTTCTCCTGCATCCCCTCTCACCTCAAACGCGACCTTCCTCCCACCTCCTCCTCTGGACTCTGGAAAACACTATCTACTCAGTACGATCATCAGGATCCTCGCTCCCTCCTCGCACTCTTTCGCAAATTCCAAGACATCACCCTTGACTCCTCCCCCACTGCTGCGGCCTACACCCGTCGCCTCATTGACACTGCACAACGCCTCAATGACCGAGGCATTGTCATCTCTGAGTCCCTTCTCACTGCACGCATCCTCGACTGCCTCCCTCCCACATATGACACCTACCGCATCACCTTCACCTCCCGCTACCGTCATCCTCCTCCTGTGGCTGACACCATCGAGTGGCTATTTGACAGCGAAGCAAACATTCAACGTGACTCTGCCACTGTCAATGCTGTCCAGACCCGCAAAGCTACCACAGGCAACCACAACAGCGGAGGAGGTGGCAGCCCAGGTGGCACCGGCAGTGGTGGTGGTGGACGTGGTAGTGGGCGAGGAGGAGGACGTGGTGGTGGCCGAGGTGGTGGCCGTGGTGGGCATGGAGGACACCCCCCATCCTCGGGCACCCTCCCCCCGTGTCAGTACATCATTCGCTATGGCTCCAACAAAGGTCAGCCATGCTCACAGACCACTCATACCATTGACACATGCTTCAAAACCCTCACTGACGAATGGTTTGACCGTGGCAATGTTGGCACCCCACCTCGCTGGAACGCTGTTTTCCCACGCCCCTCTCCCCATGACATCCGCACTCTCCCCGCCTATCAACCCTCCACCCCCAACCTCCACAATATCCTCACTCAACATTTCCCATCTCACATCCTTCACCAAGTCCAACATCTCCTCCCCTCATCCACCCCCACTCCCACTCCTCCTCCACCCACACCTCCGCCTCACGCTTCTCCCCTTCACTACCCTCCACCCTATGCTGGCTGGCCTTACCCTCCTTACCCACCTCCTGGATATGGTCATGGACCTACTGCACCTGCTGCTAATCTTGCTGAACAGCCCTCCTCCTCTTCCAACCTTCTTGGCTTTACTCCATTCCCCTCTGTTGGATTCATAGGACATGTTAGCACTGCTCCTGCTGATTCTCTGTATGCCCATGCTATTAATGAGTCTCTCTTCCAATACTCTGCCTATTCCTCCTCCTCTTCCTGCCTTGAGTTTATCCTTGACAGTGGAGCCACACACACTGTCCTTCGGGATGCAGGCACACTGGTACCTCTCCACACTCCCTCGACTATACACGGAGCTGACTCCAGCTTCACCATCACAAGTCGACACACCTCCACCCTCCCGTGTCCCATCTTCCCAGGTACAGTCACAGGTCTATACATCCCCTCCCTACGCAACAATCTTGTTGCATTATGTGACCTCACCAGGTTCGGTATCACCGCCCTCTTCCCCGGTCATGCACGCCACTGCGACCTCTTTCACACCACCACTGGCCGCTTCATCTGTCGCATTCCCCTCTGCCCTCACACAAACCTGTACACATACCGCACCCCTCGCACCTCCATTCACCACCTCATCGCCCCCACCTCACCCCCTCCCCTTCCCTCACCTCCCCTCCCCCTTCCCTCCCCTCCCCTCCCCTCCCCTCCCCCTTCCCTCCTCCCATCCCCTCCCCCCTCTCCCCTCCCCTCAAACCCCCCCTCCCCCTCCCCCACCTCCTCCTGTCACTGTCGTGACCTCACCCACCCCGCAGTTCTCCTTCACCATAGGTTGGGTCATCCCAACTTTGCCACCCTCCGTCAAACTGTCTCCACTCAACTCCTCGACGGCCTCCCCCTCACCCTCCCCCATCTCCCCCCATCACCCTCCCCTCCCTGCTCAGTATGCGTTGAAAGCAAACTGAAACAGGCCCCCCACAAGAGTCATCCCTCTTTTTCTCCCCAGCCCCTTGATCTCGTCCACATGGACCTCTGGGGCCCCAATCCTTCCCCCACCAGGCAAGGTCATAAATACCTGCTCATCTTGGTGGATGACCACAGCCGGTACTCCTCAGTCTCCCTCCTTCGCACGAAGGCGGAGGCCCCGGCTGCTATTATTGCCTGGGCTGACCAAGCACGCACCCATTTCAAACGCCCTGTCTCCCGCTTCCACTCGGATGGCGGTGGTGAGTTCCTTAATAACATGCTCTCATCCTACTGCACCACTCATGGCATTATTCACACCTACACCCTACCTCATTCCCCTCAGCAGAATGGCGTGGCGGAATGCAGGGTCCATGAGGTCACCAAGACTGCTCGGTGCCTCATGGTCCATGCCTCCTGCCCGCCCTCTCTCTGGGGCTATGCCATCCTCCACGCTGCCATCCTCACTAACCTGTACCCTCATCCCTCCCGGCCCACCACCACTCCCACTGCACTCTGGACGTCCAAAAAGCCCGACATCACCCCCCTGCGCGTGTGGGGGTCCCTGGCGTATGTTCTCATACACCTTGTCGACCGCTCACGAAAAGATGGGAAGCTAGCCTCCCGCACTCTCCCCTGCATTTTCCTTGGTCACAACACCTCCTCCCCGGACAATCTCTTCCTCCATCCCCCCTCAGGTCGCCTCATTCGTAGTCGGGATGTAGAGTTCGATGAAGCCCACCCGTACTACACCTCCCCCAAAGTCCTTAACCCCCTCCCTCTAACCACCCGTCCCCTCCTCTGGACTGACACCACTCCCCCCCCACCCCCTCTCCCCTCCCCTTCCCTTCTCCCCCCCCCCCACCATTGTCCCCCCTGCACCCCCACCCCCTCCCCCCTCTCCCCCCGCCTCATCAGGAGACATCCTTGACCCCGTCCACCCTCCCTCCCCACCCGCTGCCCCTCCCCCTCCCTCCCCACCCGCTGCCCCTCCCCCTCCCTCCCCACCCGCTGCCCCTCCCCCTCCCTCCCCACCCGCTGCCCCTCCCCATCCCTCCCCACCCCCTCCCCCTCCTTCCCCTCCATCCCTCCATGCACAACATCCCCCACCTCCCCCCTCCCCACGCCCTCCCCCACTCACTCCACCACCATACTCCCGTCCCCTACTTCCCACTCCCCCTCTCATACTCCGCCACTACCCTCACACCCGCTCCACGGTCCCTGTTCTTGGTACCCCAAGGTCCACCCCCCCCTCCCTCCACTCTCTCACATCCATCCCCCTTCTCCGCCACCATAGCACCTCCCCTCTCCCCCGCACCAGCCCCTCAGGTTCTCTTAGCAGTCGCGCTCCCGTCTCCTTGCCCCTCACGGCACCTCAGCGAAGCCGAGCTGCAATGCAGCTGTCTCCCCGCCCCGACCCTCAGCGCAGCAGAGCACCAATGCAGTTGTGTCCCCGCATCGGCCCGACCCTCCAGCGCAGCTGTCTTGCAACTCCACCGCCTCCTTTTCCTCCTCCGCTCTCTCCGGACCTCTCTGAAGACTCTCACGATGAGCTTCTTTTCCTCCATCTCCTCTCGCCCACCATCGCCCCCGTCGTCCGCACAATGGCTGGCACTACTGTCCTTCTCTTCTCCACACCCCCACCATCTACGAACCCACCACCTATGAGCAAGCACTTGCTTGTCTTGACGCACCTCTCTGGATCGAGGCCATGGTCAAGGAGAGCAACGCCTTCATCAGCAATCGCTCCTTTCTCAACGTTCCTCGTCCCTCTAAGCACAACGTGGTCAAAGGCAGGTGGCTCTTCCGAGTGAAACTGCTCCCTGGCAACGCTCCGGTCTACAAGGCTCGATATGTGGCAAAAGGCTTTACACAGACCTATGGCTCAGACTTCTTCGAGACCTACTCACCCACCGCCACCCCGCCGGTCATTCGCGTGTTCTTGGACTTTGTTGGCAGACGCAGGATGCTCCTTCACTCCATGGACGTCACCACCGCCTTTCTGCAAGGCGACCTTCATGAGCTCATATTTCTGGAACGTCCCAAAGGCTTCCACGCTCCTCGCGACCCTGCCACTGTTTGGAAGCTACTACGCCCTGTCTACGGGCTCAAACAAGCACCTCGGGAATGGCACGCCAAACTCTCCTCCACCCTTCGCGCACTTGGCTTTCGCCCCTCCCGTGCCGCCTCTTGCCTCTTCCTCCGCCTGACCCCATCACCCTTCTACATCCTCGTCTTCGTCGACGACATGCTGCTGGCCGCTGACACAACTGTTGAACTCCAGGAGGTCAAGGATGAGCTGCAGAAACGCCTCGCCTGCAAAGACCTGGGGGAGGTCCGCAACTACCTCGGCATGGAGATCACCCGCGACCTCACTGCCAAGACCATCACCCTCTCTCAGTCTTTTTACGTCGAGAAGATTCTTGAGAGGTTTGGCATGTCCAGATCAAAACCCATCTCCACACCACTTGCATTTGGGCATCGGCTCTCCCCTCCCACCACTCCCGTCACCTCCCCTCATCCCTATGCACAACTTGTTGGGGTCTTGATGTACGCCATGGTCTGCACTCGTCCCGACCTTGCATACCCAGTCAGTGTTCTGGCGCAGTTCGTTGGCACCGGCAGGAATGGTGACGAGCATTGGAAGGCGGCCATGCATGTTCTTCGCTATCTTCAAGGCACAAGGACCATGTCCTCACCCTTGGTGGTGTGAACCCACCCATTCTTCACGGCTTCAGCGACTCATCCTGGGCCGATGCACAACCCGACCGTCGCAGCTCCCAAGGATATGGCTTCACACTCGGGAGCGGCCTCATCAGCTGGCGCTCCACCCGCTCCTCCTCCGTCGCCCTCTCATACTGCGAAGCCGAACTATACGCGGTCACGATGGCGGCTCAAGAGGCACGTTGGCTCAGCTATCTGCTCACCGACCTTGGCTCCCCACAGCCCTGCCCCACCCTGTGGTGTGACAACGACAGTAGCATTCACCTCACCAAGGAAGCCATCTTTCATGGTCACTCCAAACACATCGAGCTTCGCTACTACTTCGTTCGCGACCTTGTCCAAGATGGTTACATCACCGTTCGCAAAATCGCCTCATCCGACAACCTCGCCGATCTCTTCACCAAGGCTCTCCACCGCTCTGACCACTCTGCACTTCTGCGTCTCCAGGGACTTGCTCCCCGCGGTGGCTGATTCAGGGGTTGTTGTTCTCTCTCTTCCCACGCTTATGGATCTCTGTAGGTTAAGGGGTTGTGTCAGATTGCCATCCTCATTGTAACCTACATCAATCCTATAAGCGTAGGATAGAGATAGCCACCCAAACTTAGTTTGGGTGTAGAACTAGGGCTAACCCTAGTTGGGGGTTGGAACTCAAACCTTGGCCCCCAAGGTTGGGTTGGGAATTATTGGTCCCCCCAATAATCCCTCAACCCAACTTATTAGTGGGGGCCAATAATGTTGGCTTGGTTCCAACCAACCCCCCCCCCCAAGCACTACTATGTATACCCCAATCTCTCCTAATGAAATCAATGGTTCTTCCTCACGTTTTCTCACAGCATGTGCTGCATGTGCTGCATGTGCTGCTAGTGCTGCATGTGCTGCATGTGCTGCATGTGCTGCATGTGCTGCATGTGCTGCATGTGCTGCATGTGCTGCATGTGCTGCTTGTGCTGCATGTGCTGCATGTGCTGCATGTGCTTCTTGTGCTGCATGTGCTGCATGTGCTGCATGTGCTGCATGTGCTGCATGTGCTGCATGTGCTGCATGTGCTGCATGTGCTGCTAGTGCTGCATGTGCTGCATGTGCTGCATGTGCTGCATGTGCTGCATGTGCTGCATGTGCTGCATGTGCTGCATGTGCTGCTTGTGCTGCATGTGCTGCATGTGCTGCATGTGCTTCTTGTGCTGCATGTGCTGCATGTGCTGCATGTGCTGCATGTGCTGCATGTGCTGCTAGTGCTGCATGTGCTGCATGTGCTGCATGTGCTGCATGTGCTGCATGTGCTGCATGTGCTGCATGTGCTGCATGTGCTGCATGTGCTGCATGTGCTGCATGTGCTGCTAGTGCTGCATGTGCTGCTAGTGCTGCATGTGCTGCATGTGCTGCATGTGCTGCATGTGCTGCTAGTGCTGCATGTGCTGCATGTGCTGCATGTGCTGCATGTGCTGCATGTGCTGCATGCATGTGCTGCAGTGGGGCGCTCACCCATTGACGATCTTGACGTTGACGAAGAAGAGCAGTTGCCTCAACAGCGCATCCACCACCACTGCTGGCACGTGGTTTGCTGCCAGCGTGGCCGTCACCTTGGAGGGGGAAGAGAAGGGGGTGGGGCGGAGAAAGAGCAGGTGGGTGAGGGGGGCAGGGGGTTTGAGGAATTGATTGATGGATTAATTGGAGGATAGGGGTTATCGAAGGATGGGGGGAATGGGGGGGCGGGATTACATGCCATGGCATGCCATGCCATATTACTCATGGAAAAGTGATTCATGGAAGGAGCGGAGCACATACAAATGCATATGCCACAAGCATGCATGTCACCTGCTTGAGGGTGACCACCACGTTCGCCCAGTAGTTCACCACGTGCTTCCGCACCATCGCTGCCCCCGACCGCCCCCCTCCCCTCGCCCTCCCCCGCGCCAGCCGCCTCCCCCCGCCGCCGCCCGCCTTGCCGCCCTTCCCTGCCGCTGCGTCACCGGCTGCTTGGTCGCCCTCTGCTTCCGCTGCCGCGTCCTGAGATTCCTGCGAGGGAGAAGAGGGGGGAAAGGGTGGGGGGGCGGGGAGAGGCACACGTGGGACTGACGCTGGGAGTACTATTCTTGGCGGCAGTGACGAGTAGAGGCAGGCGGAGGATGGGTGAGGTTAGCAGCAGGGAGGCAGACCGGATCACTTACGTGGGAGTCGGTGGAGACACGTCCATGAATGACAGTCATGCCGTACTAGTCGCACCCACTGCTGCTTCTGCCCCCACCCAAGGTCCTCCAAACCAAGGTGCTCATGTGCCCCACCCACCCACCTGCGAGGGCAGGGCGAAGTGCTTGGCGAGCTCGGCCTTGGCGGCGTCCCTGATGGTGACGAAGAGGCGCTCCGTGCCCGTGGCCAGCTGCTGCTTGAACAGCATCACATCCACCCTCTCCACCGCTGCCTTGGGCTGCCCGCATGGGAGGGGTGGCAGGAGTGAGTTCGTTGAAGGGTGGGAGAGTGAAACAGAGTGAGAGAGTGGATGGAAATGAGAAGGTGGAAGGTGAGGTGAGAAGATGAGATGAGAGTTGAAAGGTGTGAGAAGGCGGAAGAGAGTGAGAAGGTGGAAGGGAATGAGAAGGTCGAAGGTGAGTGCATGAGAGTGGAAAGGAGTGAGAGATTGGAGAGAAAGGAGAGGGCGGAGGGAAGTGAGAGGGTGGAGAGAAGTGAGAGGGTGGAGGGAAGTGAGAGGGTGGAGGGGAGTGAGAGGGTGGAGGGAAGTGAGGGTGTGGAAAGGAGCGAGCGTGGAAGGGAGCAAGAAGATGGAGGGAATTAGGAGGGAGGAGCACTGACAGGGGCGGCGGGGCGGGAGGCCATGCCGAAGAAAGAGAAGGAGAAGCTTTCCTGCGCGGGCTGCTCCACTGGCGGCTGGTACACCACCTGCGGCGCGGGCAGGGGAAACGGGAAGTGGGAGGACAGTGAGAGGGAGGGCAGAGGGAGGACGAGATGAGAGGTATGTTTGCAGCCAGGCTGGCTGGAGAGAGGGAGGGGAGGAGAGGTTGGGAAAAAAGGAAGAAAAGAAGAAGAAAAGAAACCATAATTAACAAACAAAAAAAAGGGGGGGAATGCGCGGATTGCCCATCATGCCACACAGCACCGCACTGCACGAGGTAGTAGAGCAACTCCCCCAGCACACCTGCACGAGGCAGTAGAGCAACTCCCCCAGCACACCTGCACGAGGTAGTAGAGCAACTCCCCCAGCACACCTGCACGAGGTAGTAGAGCAACTCCCCCAGCACACCTGCACGAGGTAGTAGAGCAACTCCCCCAGCACACCTGCGCGAGGTAGTAGAGCAACTCCCCCAGCACACCTGCACGAGGTAGTAGAGCAACTCCCCCAGCACACAGCACAGAGCCCCCCCGATCACACTGCATGGCACGGACCTGCACGAGGTAGTAGAGCACGATGTGGTTGGTGAGCCAGTAGGCCTGTGCAGGCAGCAGCTGGTCGGTGGAGCCGCGCTGGAAGGCCTCCACGATGCGGTCGAACGTGTTGGTCCTCTCCGCCTCCAGCGCCCCCCACTGCAGCAGCGCACGGTACACCATGCACGCCGCCACCGGCTGCCCCTCGGGGCCGAACGGGAAGCGGCTGCTCGCCACCTCCGACAGCAGCAGCTCCTATACGAGGGGCAGTTGGAAGGCGTGGGGGATGGGAGGCGAGGGAGAAGAGAGGGTGGGAAGCAGACAGAAGGGAAAAGGGTGAATGGGAGTGTTAGGGGAACATGGGGGAGATGGGGTACGTGGTGCTGGTCATCCAGGTGGGGTGAGGCGTGGGCACACATGGTAGTTGTGAAATGAGGATTGGATGGGAGGTCATGAAGTACAAGGTCTCGCACCTGCTGCTTATCGATGGGCAGCTCCTCCGTGTCGCTGGCAGCCTGCGACGCCAGCAGCCGCTGGCTGAGTGTACGCACCTCCCTCGCCTTGCTGCCGTGGGGGCGGTGGGTTGGGTGGGAGGGGACATATGGGTTTGATGGGTTCGCACAGTACAGCACAACACATAACCACACAGCGAAGTAGCCACACAGCACAACAGAGCATGAGTGCAGGGACGACGGACAGGGTGAGAGCAAGCTGCAGCTCCCTTCTCGGTTAGCTCCCAACTCTCCTCGTCCTTGCCCTCCACACAGCACAGCGCATCACAGCACATCTCAGCACAGCACATCACAGCACAGCACAGCACAGCACATCACAGCACAGCACACAACCACACAGCACAGCACACAACCACACAGCACAGCACACAAATCAAGCGACTTACAGGGTGAGCGCGAGCTGCAGCTCCTGGTTCTTCTCAGTGAGCTCTCGGATCTCCTCGTCCTTCCCCTCCACGGTCCTCTGCAACTCACCCACCCGCCCTCGCTCCTCCGCTGCCGCCGCCAGTGCCGTCTCTGCTGCCGCCACTGCCTCCCGGTACAGCACCTGCAGCTGCCGCCTCTCCTCCTTGAGCTGGTAGAGGAGGGGAAGGAAGGGGGGTGTGCATCGGTGGAGGGAGGCGAGATGGGGTTGAGAGTGAAGAAGAGGGGGGAAATGAACGCGAGGGAGAGAGGGGAGGGGACTGTGCGGCTTTACACACTCTCTATTGTAAATGATAGTAAAAAAAAAAAAAAAAAAAACGACATACCTACTCTCACCTTGTACGCCCCCCTCATCCCCCTCACCTTCTGAGCCTCCTCCGCATCTCGCTGTGCGCTCGCGAGCATGCGCACTGCCTCCTCACGCGTGAGTGACTTGGCCGACACCAGCGGCCGCGGCACACCCGGCCCGCCACCACCCTCCCCGCCTGCTCCTCCACCCATCCGTGGGTTGGACGACTGCAGCCGTCGGATCCTCGCCAGCCGTGCATCCGCACCGTCGGTCCCGCCGCCAGAACCCCCAGCAGCAGCATCAGCGTTAGCAGCGAGTTTGAGGGCCTTCCCCATGGACTGCTGCCGCAGCATGCTCCTCCCGACAGGCAGCGTGCTGGCACGCGTGTACTCTGCCTCGCTCTCCTCCGGTCCCATGGAGGGGAACCGCACTTGCCTCAGCCCCCCGCTGCTGCCACCAAACTCCCCGGTGCCGCTGCCACCGCTGCTGGTTCTGCTGACTGCAACCACCTTCTTCTCCTCGCCCTCCTCGCGTGACGCCGACTCCTGAATGCACGGCAGGTGATGGGCGTCCGCCGCGCCGCCATGGCCCCTGTGGGCGCCGTCGTGCGTACCCTCCCCCGCCGCCGCTGCTGCCGATGCGCCTTCAGCTCTCTCCATCGCTGCCACTGCTGCCGCGGCTGCTGCTGCCATGCCACCCCCGCTGCTGCCAGGGGGGGACGCTATGGAGGAGGGAGGCACGGGAGGGACGGGCGAGGAGCGACTGGAGGAGGAGGAGAAGGACGGGGAGCTCGTGAGAGCAGCACTCGCAGCACCATCCGCAGCACCGCCAGCAGCAGCAGCAGCAGCGGTTTCCTCCCACGTGGGGTGATTGGCAGGCGTGTGCGGCGAGGGGTGTCTGCGCGATGCCATCCGGGCGAGGATCCTCGACCCCTCTGGCACCCCCAGATTGCCCCCTGGTGCCCCCGCTCTCCCCCCGCTCTGCTGCGACGACAAATGCTTGTCCACCACCACTCCCAGCGCTCCCCCTGCCAGCGCAGCCACTGCAGCTGCAGCAGCGGAGGGTGAGGAGGAGGACGAAGAGAAGCCTGACCCGCCGAAGGAAGGCAGGCTGCTCAGCGCCCCTGCTGCTCCTCCTCCTCCGCCTGCTGCTGCTTTATGTGAGGCCACAGATGCCACATGCAGCACTCGCTCCCGCCCCTCCGCCCGCTCCCTGTCCTGCTCCCTCAGCATCTCCTCCAACCGCTCCTCTGCCTGCTCTGCCCGCTGCTGCTCCTGCTCCAGCTGCCCCACCAGCCGCGCCACCTCACGCGCCTTGCCTGCCAGCTCCTTCTTGGTCCGCTCCAGCTCAGCACGGACCTCTGCCAGCTGGCGCTCTGAGTTTGCACGGCTTTTTTCGGCCTTTTCCTGAGAAGGGGGAAGAGGGATTTTGATGAGGCGCGCGAGCAGTGCAGAGATGGATGTGCGAGCAAAGGGAGGAAGAGGGTGAATATGGGTAATGCGGGAGAGACAAGGAATTGGTGCAGCGAGGGGCAGGAAGGTAGGTGACAAGGAGTGAAAGGCTAGGCCTGCCTGAAACGAAGAGGTATCTGAGAGTGTGTATGGTAAATGCCCTGTCATACCATGGACGATTTCATTGCCACTGGTTAGCATCACCCACATCACCAGCTACACTGGAGTTGCTCGCGAGAATTCTCACAGGCACCACTCCTACTTGCATCCTCTCACATTGCTCTCCCCTCATCGCTTCCCTCTCCTCTCACCCGCATCACGCGCAGTGTCATCTCTCACCCACATCACACACAGTGTCATCTCTCACCCGCATCACATGCAGTGTCATCTCTCACCCGCATCACACGCAGTGTCATCTCTCACCCGCATCACACGCGGTGTCATCTCTCACCCGCTTCACACGCAGTGTCATCTCTCACCCGCATCACACGCAGTGTCATCTCTCACCCGCATCACACGCAGTGTCATCTCTCACCTGCATCACACGCAGTGTCATCTCTCACCCGCATCACACGCAGTGTCATCTCTCACCCGCATCACGCCCAGTGTCATCTCTCACCCGCATCACACCCAGTGTCATCTATCACCCGCATCACACGCAGTGTCGTCTCTCACCCGCATCACATGCAGTGTCATCTCTCACCCGCATCACACGCGGTGTCATCTCTCACCCGCATCACACGCAGTGTCATCTCTCACCCGCATCACACGCAGTGTCATCTCTCACCCGCATCACACGCAGTGTCATCTCTCACCCGCATCACACGCAGTGTCATCTCTCACCCGCATCACACGCAGTGTCATCTCTCACCCGCATCACACGCGGTGTCATCTCTCACCCGCATCACACGCAGTGTCATCTCTCACCCGCATCACACGCAGTGTCATCTCTCACCCACATCCCACGCAGTGTCATCTCTCACCCGCATCACACGCAGTGTCATCTCTCACCCGCATCATGCCCAGTGTCATCTCTCACCCGCATCACACGCGGTGTCATCTCTCACCCGCATCACACGCAGTGTCATCTCTCACCCGCATCACACGCAGTGTCATCTCTCACCCGCATCACACGCAGTGTCATCTCTCACCCGCATCACACGCGGTGTCATCTCTCACCCGCATCACACGCAGTGTCATCTCTCACCCGCATCACACGCAGTGTCATCTCTCACCCGCATCACACGCAGTGTCATCTCTCACCCGCATCACACGCAGTGTCATCTCTCACCCACATCACACGCAGTGTCATCTCTCACCCGCATCACACGCAGTGTCATCTCTCACCCGCATCACACGCAGTGTCATCTCTCAGCCGCATCACGCCCAGTGTCATCTCTCACTCGCATCACACGCAGTGTCATCTCTCACCCGCATCACACGCAGTGTCATCTCTCACCCGCATCACACGCAGTGTCATCTCTCACCCGCATCACACGCAGTGTCATCTCTCACCCGCATCACACGCAGTGTCATCTCTCACCCGCATCACGCGCAGTGTCATCTCTCACCCGCATCACACGCAGTGTCATCTCTCACCCGCATCACACGCAGTGTCATCATGCGGATGGTCTCGATGGCCACGTCCGTCTTCTTGCGTGGCGGCGCCAACTCTGCCTGTCGACTCGCCTCCTGCGGGTGGTTGGAGTGGGAGGAGCGGGGACGGCGGGAAAAAGGGGAAGGGGAGGTGGGGGGAGGGGGAACTGATTGGTATGGATGCTGAGACACGCCAGATCCACGTGCAGGCTTGCCTCCTAAACGTAAGCAGAGCAGGAGAAGCAGAAAGGGCCGGAAAAGGAGGCAGGGAGGGGGATTGGCTGGTATGGAAGGTGAGAGGCGTAAGCAGCGCAGGAGTAGCAGAAACGCCGGTAAAAGGAAGAGAAGAGGGGGATTGGTTAGTATGGATGGCGAGAACAGGGGAACGTTATCACTGACCAGCTTGAGGTTGTGCAGTCTGAGGCGCGCCACTCTACCCGCCAGCATGTGCTTGAGCGCCCTCCATGGCCGCCTGTGAATGTAGCCTCGCCACGTGCTCTGCATGGGGGCGTGGTGAGAGGGAGGGACGGGGAGTGGCACACAAGGCACGGCAAGGCGGAGAGTATCGACTTCCAGAGCTCATTGCAGGATTTTCAACCCTTCGCATGCATCGCGACACCAGCGTGCCTCGTGCTGCAGCAGCGAAACCCCAGCGTGCTGCAACACACCTGAATGCGGGTGCCTCGTGCTGCAACACACCTGAATGCGGGTGGCGGCGAGGCGGCGGCGAGTGTTGACATAGGCGGTGCGGCAGAGGTGCATGCGCACAGCGGCCTGCACCACCAGGGCGGCGTGGCGCAGCTGCAGGAAGCGCAGGCGCTGCTGCCGCCCCCTCTCCGCCGCCTGGATGGTCGTTGCCGCCACGTCCCTCCGCAGCTGCTGGTAGGCCGCGCGGGCACAGTGGCCTGGAGGGGGGTTGGAATTGGGAGAGAGAGGAAGAGGGGTCGAAACGGAGGGATGAGAACAGAAGGGAAGAGAAGGAGGGGGCACAGCAGCCACATCACTCTGCAACAGCTGGTAGGCCGCGCGCACACAGTAGCCTGGAGGGGCAGGGGGGGGGGATGGGGGGGGAAGAGTTGGGAAGTGGGGACCGGAAGGTAACGAGTGTGAGTGAGGGATGGTCTGGTCGCACGGTGGGAGAGGGGCACCTGGGGGCCCTTCTTCCCCCTGCATGCCAATCTTCGGCCTTTAACCCTCGCCCCCTCGAGCCATCACCCACCAGCATCTCACCTCGCCAGTGTGTCTGGATGAGCATCTCACAGTACCCCACCCCACCCCATCTCACCTCACCGCACCGCACCGCACACCTCACCTCGCCAGCACCTCACGCCCCGCCTCACCCCACCACCTCTTCACCTCGCCAGTGCGTCTGGATGAGCATCTCACCGCACCACACCGCACTCCATGGCACATCTGACCTCACCGCACCACACCGCACTCCATGGCACATCTGACCTCACCACACCACATCGCACACCTCACCTCGCCAGTGGGTCTGGATGAGGAGGGCGGCGCGCCTGCGGTGGCGATTGAAGAGGAAGTGCCGCGTGGCGCGCTGAATCTTCCTGGCAGCTTCGTTCATGGCGTCCAGCCGCATGCTCTGCAGCAGCGCCATCTGCCCCGCGCGCAGGAACACCTTGGTCAGCCCGATCTGCGCGCGTGCAGGAGGGGAGAGGTGGAGAGGGAAGGGCGTCAGGGGGAGGGGACGGAAAGGTGGTGGGGAAGGGTGGGTGAACACACCATCATATGCGCCATGTGCCCCGCGCGCAGGAACACCTTGGTCCGCCCGATCTGGAATAAATTGTCCAGAGAGGGCCGTGGGGATAAGATTAGCCCGAGGTGATTTTTTAGTCAACTATTAAAAAACAACGCCTTGTGCCTCAAAAGCCGTTCATCAGCCCAATCTGAGCATGCGCAGGAGGGGAGAGTGTGCGGGACGAGAGAGAGAGAGAGAGAGAGAGATAGAGAGAGAGAGAGAGAGAGAGAGAGAGAGAGAGAGAGAGAGAGATAGAGAGAGAGGGAGGATGAACAAACCATCATAAGCACCATCGTGTGCCCTATCCTCAGGAACTCCTTGGTCAGGCCGATCTGGCTGTGCAGACACAGGGGAGGGTCGGGGATGAGAGGCAATGAGATAATGTCAGGAAACACAAAGGGGAGTGTGGATGTTGGAAGCAGGAAAGGCAAGAGAAACTGCTCCACACGCACGGTGTCCAGCACAGGCCTCTGCGGTGCTGAGGTGCTGCCATGCTGCTGTGCTGCCATGCTGCTGTGCTGCCATGCTGCTGTGCTGCCATGCTGCTGTGCTGCCATGCTGCTGTGCTGCCATGCCGCTGTGATGCTACGCTGCTGTCCTGCTGTGCTGCTGTGCTGCTGTGCTGCCGTGCCGCCGCGCGAAGGAAGGGAAAAGAGCGGAGGGAAGGCGGGGGTAGGAGGAGCATCTGCAGAGCCGAGACGAGGGCCTCAGGAGCACGGCACACGGTGGGCGGGTGGGGAGCATGGCAGCAGAGATGGGACAAGCAAGAGGGGGCTCCAGCGTGGACAGGAGTAACAAGAGCACCTTGAGAACAGAGACACTGGTGACCAAACACCCAGACTGATGACAAGTGCACCTGATGAATCACCTGAAGTTCAGTGTGACCTGAACAAGCATCTGAGGGGGCACCTGGTAGTTCTCAAGCTTGGCGTGTTTGAGCAGCGCCTCCACATACTCCACGTCTGACATGCTGCGAGGGGGAAGGTGGAAGGTTGGGAGGGGGGGAGAAGGAGAAGGGGGTGGGAAAAAAAGCGGGGAGTCATGGTTTGGCTCAAACGCGACCTATGCTCGAGCAGCACCTCCCCGTGGGAGGAGGATGTGCGGGTGGAAAAAAGAGGGGGAGAAGGGGGGGGAAGGGAGGGGGTGGTTCGACTCAAAGGAGGGAAGCAGCAGAGCACTCACTCCTGCTCGAGCAGCGAGGGCAGCAGCAGAGCGCTCACTCCTGCTCGAGCAGCGAGGGCAGCAGCAGAGCACTCACTCCTGCTCGAGCAGCGAGGGCAGCAGCAGAGCACTCACTCCTGCTCGAGCAGGGAGGGCAGCAGCAGAGCACTCACTCCTGCTCGAGCAGCGAGGGCAGCAGCAGAGCACTCACTCCTGCTCGAGCAGCGAGGGCAGCAGCAGAGCACTCACTCCTGCTCGAGCAGCGAGGGCAGCAGCAGAGCACTCACTCCTGCTCGAGCAGCAGCGAGGGCAGCAGCAGAGCACTCACTCCTGCTCGAGCAGCGAGGGCAGCAGCAGAGCACTCACTCCTGCTCGAGCAGCGAGGGCAGCAGCAGAGCACTCACTCCTGCTCGAGCAGCGAGGGCAGCAGCAGAGCACTCACTCCTGCTCGAGCAGCAGCGAGGGCAGCAGCAGAGCACTCACTCCTGCTCGAGCAGCGAGGGCAGCAGCAGAGCACTCACTCCTGCTCGAGCAGCGAGGGCAGCAGCAGAGCACTCACTCCTGCTCGAGCAGCGAGGGCAGCAGCAGAGCACTCACTCCTGCTCGAGCAGCGAGGGCAGCAGCAGAGCACTCACTCCTGCTCGAGCAGCAGCGAGGGCAGCAGCAGAGCACTCACTCCTGCTCGAGCAGCAGCGAGGGCAGCAGCAGAGCACTCACTCCTGCTCGAGCAGCGAGGGCAGCAGCAGAGCACTCACTCCTGCTCGAGCAGCGAGGGCAGCAGCAGAGCACTCACTCCTGCTCGAGCAGCAGCGAGGGCAGCAGCAGAGCACTCACTCCTGCTCGAGCAGCAGCGAGGGCAGCAGCAGAGCGAAGCGGTCAACGAAGTCCTCAAAGGTGCGGCGAGTGGGGTAGCCCGCTGAGCACATGCGGATAGCCTCCAGCACTCCCTGCCCACAAATAGATGAGCACGCGGGAAGGAGGGAGGGTGACGGAATGAATGGGGTGAGTGAGACGAGCCATGGGAATGAGAGAGATAAAAGATCCCTAAACAGGAAACCCTGGAATGGTGTTTCCACGGACTGTGGTATGTGACACAGTGACTACCCGCGTCTTTTGCTTATCAACTGGCACAGTGAGCTGAAGCAGCAAACCATTGAGGATCTAGTTCACCAATTCATACAAATTGCACAAGCGATAAGATTCTACACAAGACATGGTGCACCAGCGGGGCAGTAGACCACTACACTACAGCAGCCGGCCAAAGGGTAAGAGCCCGTGCCAAAGGGTACCAAGCCCGTGCTAAAGAGTCCACGACCACTGACCATGGCGCGCTCAACCAAACATGGCGGGCGGCTCGTGAGGCGCTTCGATAGAAGGCGCAGTGCAAGAAAGCAAGCACACAAAGGGCCTGGGCGACGCAGCCAAGCGCGGAGGGCAGCAGAGCGAGGCGGGTCAGTTCACAGAATGCAGGGGTGCTACTATCTATCTACTACGCCCCCGGCAACTCCCTCCCGACCGCAGCTGGTCGGTAACCACGGCGCGCTGACTTGACAGAGCCCAGGGGTGCTACTATCTATAAAGCCCGCGCCCCAACTCACCCCCGACCGCAGCTGGTCGGTAACCACGGCGCGCTGACTTGACAGAGCCCAGGGGTGCTACTATCTATAAAGCCCGCGCCCCAACTCACCCCCGACCGCAGCTGGTCGGTAACCACGGCGCGCTGACTTGACAGAGCCCAGGGGTGCTACTATCTATAAAGCCCGCGCCCCAACTCACCCCCGACCGCAGCTGGTCGGTAACCACGGCGCGCTGACTTGACAGAGCCCAGGGGTGCTACTATCTATAAAGCCCGCGCCCCAACTCACCCCCGACCGCAGCTGGTCCGTCACCATGGCGCGCTCAAACATGCCCGGCCGGCTCTTGGCATTCGGCTTGATGCACCGGATGTAGTGCGGTTCAGTGCGGTTGAGTGTCTCCATCAGTTGCGCCAGTTGTTGCTGGTAACGAGGAGATGGGGTGAGAGAAAAGGCAGGGGGGCGAGAAGGAGGGACAGAGGAGAGAAAACGGTGTAAGGAGTAAATGCAGTGCGTGAGCAAGTTATGGATTGAAAGGGAAGTCAAATAGCGTGCCGTATCAGCGGCTTCGTGCCGTATCAGCGGCTTCGTGCCGTATCAGCGGCTTCGTGCCGTATCAGCGGCTTCGTGCCGTATCAGCGGCTTCGTGCCGTATCAGCGGCTTCGTGCCGTATCAGCGGCTTCTTGCCGTATCAGCGGCTTCGTGCCGTATCAGCGGCTTCGTGCCGTATCAGCGGCTTCGTGCCGTATCAGCGGCTTCGTGCCGTATCAGCGGCTTCTTGCCGTATCAGCGGCTTCGTGCCGTATCAGCGGCTTCTTGCCGTATCAGCGGCTTCGTGCCGTATCAGCGGCTTCGTGCCGTATCAGCGGCTTCTTGCCGTATCAGCGGCTTCGTGCCGTATCAGCGGCTTCTTGCCGTATCAGCGGCTTCGTGCCGTATCAGCGGCTTCGTGCCGTATCAGCGGCTTCGTGCCGTATCAGCGGCTTCGTGCCGTATCAGCGGCTTCGTGCCGTATCAGCGGCTTCGTGCCGTATCAGCGGCTTCGTGCCGTATCAGCGGCTTCGTGCCGTATCAGCGGCTTCGTGCCGTATCAGCGGCTTCGTGCCGTATCAGCGGCTTCGTGCCGTATCAGCGGCTTCGTGCCGTATCAGCGGCTTCTCTCAATTCCCACCCACTGCTGCCCGAGCCACCCGGACCGCTTGGTTGGAGGCATGTGAGTCCCGACCCCCCAGCTTCGAACCACGCAGGGCACACAGGTGTGTTGTTGGATGGCGAGTGGGATGGTGGGGTGGATGGCTGGTGCTCACCTTGAAGGAGCGAGCCAGTGAGGCGAACTTGCTCGTGGCCTTGCCGGCCTTGTCATCGGGCGGCGTGGGTGGGAAGAGGGCGGCGACGAATGGGTCGGCGGACTTCTGCAGCAGCACCTCGTGCTCTGATACCACTGCGTCCATGTTCTTGCTTATGAACTCTGCTGTGCTGTACTTCACCTGGTTCACTCACATGCGCATAGGTAGGGAGGGGAAGGGAAAGGGTCAGTGCGCAGAGATGGGTGCGGGAAGAGAGAGAAGGCAAAGGGTAGGTGGACTTGTCATCATAACCTCGTGCTCTGATACCACTGATGTGCTTATGAACTCCGCTGTGCTGTACTTCACCTGGTGTGCTCCAAGGGGGGGAAGGAAAGGAAAGGGAAGTTGGAAGTTGAGCAACAGGGGGGATGAGCTGTGCTCTACTTCATCTGGTGCGTTCTAGTGCCAGAGCGCTTGCACTTGAAAACTCTTCTGAGCCACTCACCAGTCATCTTGAGTTGTACCACTCACGCCACGTGTTCTGCAGCAGCTGCGGGAGTTGAAGGTGACGTGGGGACCGGCTTTTCCAGACAGTCTCTGGAAATATTTCTTTAAGGAACCACCCGGGGGATGGCGGCCAGCTGCGTTCTACGTCTTGCCTAAGCTTCACAAGAAAGTACCCGTGGGGCGACCGATCGCTGCCTCACATTCATGGGCTACGATTAATGTGAGCAAGTGGCTTGACGCTGAACTTCGCCCGCTGGTCTTGAATCGTCCTACATACCTCCGGGATTCTCTCTCTCTGCTGACAACGCTCGAACGCACCACGTTTCCGACGACGGTACTTCTAGCGACGTATGATGTAGCCGCTCTCTACCCCAGCATTTCGATCGAGCGCGGTCTTGATGCGGTCAGCAGTTTTCTGATGAGAGAGAAACCGCAACTCACCCCACCTCTCATGGCCCTTCTGGGTTGGGTCATGAGGAACTGTTTTGTCGAGTTCGGCGGCCGGATCTTTCACCAACTACGAGGCACCGCCATGGGTACACCTGTAGCAGTTTGCTTCGCGATCTTGTTCATGAGCCGCCTGGATGAGTTACTGAAAGGGAAGTGGACCGGAACGTTACCTCTTTACCATGTGCGCTACATCGATGACGGTCTAATCGTATGGCCGGGGACGCGGGCAGATCTGGAAGCCTACCTGCGCACCTTCAATGAGCTTGATCCTAACATTCGGATTACATGGTCTGTTTCGGACTGCTCCATCGATTTTCTGGACGTGGTTCTCTTCAAGGGACCACGGTTTAAGGAGCAGGGTACTTTGGATTTCGGCACGTTTCAGAAGCCGATGAATAAGTATCTCTATCTTCCCTTTGCTTCCTTCCACCCACGGCACTGCAAGGAATCCTTCGTTCGCGCAGAATTGAAGCGGTACCTGCTCCGCTCTACATCAGCTGCGACTTTCCTCGCAACGAAGAAGGCTTTCTTCGGCCGGCTTCGTGACCGTGGTTACCCTCCTGCTTTTCTGCACCCAATCTTCCAAGGCGTCACTTTCGCTCACCGTTCGTTACTCCTCGCCACTACCATCGCTAACCAGGCGCTCCGGCAACAGATCTCTCTCCCATCCCGTGGACCCCTAGTTTTGAAGACGCAGTACACTTCGGTGTCTGCTCGTCTCGGGCTAGGGGTCCTTTTGAGTCGACTCAAAAATCGACTCACTACACGCGGATTATATGTGGAGAGGTTTTTTGTTGCATGGCAAATTGGTTGTAACCTTAACAGGTTTCTGGTACGCGCGCGACTTCCACAGTTGCTGCCTGGCGAAGATGCGAATTCGAACTTCAACGATGACGCTCCAAGGATTGAGGACGTGGCCACCTGAGAAATTTCCAAGGGTGAAATTTTCAAGGGTGACTTCTACTGGTCCCCGGATTTCGGGCTGACCTGGTGTAGATAACCTAGAGATCAGTTTTTCCGAGGCTTCGTTTCTTCTTGAAGCGTAGCTTAGCTCTGTTTTCTTTCATTAGCACTGATGAAGGCCTGCTAGGGTAGCCCCTTAACGGCCGAAACATGTTTGTTTTACTCTACTGCTGAAGTTCTTGAGCTCGGATTGTTGAGATCTTAGTTTTACAGAAGGTTTTTACTGTCTATCTTTTGCTTTAAGCCTGAATAAGTTTGCTGCTCGCTGAGAACATGTCCCAAGACCAGGCAGCACAGAGCCCTGACTAATCTGCCTGGCATAGTGCTCAAGAGTGCAGTAAGAGACATAGCCCTTGGACTTGGAAAACTGATAGAGGGTGGCACGCTTCACAAACAATTCTTTGATCTTGTCGCCCACCCAGCACAACACAGAGCCCCGCCGGGGCCACCACTCTCACCTCACCTGCTCCGCGCAGTGCTCGAGAGTGAAGTCAATGACAGGGACCTTGGACTTGGAGAAGACTATTAAGTTAGATTCAAGATCCTAGAAAGCAACCCAGCACAGTGCCCCACCCACCTGCGCGGCGTAGTGGTCGAGAGTGAAGTCAGTGACGGAGCCCTTGGGCTTGGAGAAGGACTTTGAGATGACTGCATAGCCCTACCTGCCCTACACAACACAACACAGAGCCCCACCTGCGCGGCGTAGTGCTGGAGGGTGAAGTCAATAAGAGAGCCATTGGAGTTGGAGAAGTCGGCGATGTGCACGCCTCACACACAGTCCTTTCATTCCACCCCACCTACCCAACACAGCACACAGCCCCACCCCACCCACCTGCCCGGCGTAGTGCTCCAGGGTGAAGTCAGTGATGGAGCCCTTGGACTTGGAGAAGCGGTCGTGGCGCAGGAAGGCATCGTACAGCGACAGCGTGAAGCCCTCCGCCGTTGACTGCGCCAGGCGGCTGGAGGGTGGAGAAGAGAGGAGGGGGGGGCGGGGGGGAGAGGGCGTAATGGGGAAGGAAGAGGGAAGGGAAGCACTTGGGAAGGCGTCGTACGTTGACACCGTGAAGCCCTCCGCTGTGGACTGAGCCACAAGGCTGGTGGAGGGGGTGAGGGGGAGGGGGGCGTGGGGAGGGGATGGAGGTGGGGGGGGGGAAGAGGGGGGGGAGGGGAAGCATGGAAGAGAGGTGGTGGTGGCGGAGGAAGGCGTCGTACAGCGACAGGGTGAAGCCCTCCGCTCTGGGCTGCGATGGTGGGGCGAAGAGAGCGCGAGGTGTGAGGGGGAGATGAGAGGGGGTTCAGAATCCAGATGCATGGGGCCG